GTCGGATTTACTTCATTTTCATTTCGAATGGATTTTGCATCACTCAGCTGCCAGGTTCTCCACCTTGCTCCTTCCTCCCTCTCCCATTACCCTCTAGCAGGCAGTGACCACGATCTAAACTTTGTTTGCTCTCCTTCCGCACAACCCCCCAACACCCCATTTCGAAGCTCTACAGCTTCAGGGTCCCTGATGGTCTCCAAAGGGCTACCTTTCTTTGTTCTTGAACCTTGAAAGACCTTGGGAGGGGCTGCAGGTAGGGGGAAGAGACTCGTGATCTGGGCACAGGAACAAAGCTTTTCATCTCTCCAATGCAAGATCAACTTTAGAGACAGGTCCAACCTGGGCATGCCAACAGAAGGCAGCTTCTACAAGCCACAATGCACCTGTGCCACGTCAGGAAGGGCTCTACTAGCTGACGACCTCTGGTCCCATCATCTACCTGGTCGCCTATCCCACACCTCCCGCAGTCACTGGAGGAGAATCCTCACTCTGCCAGCTAAGCCCCACCACATCTATCTCTAAATAGATCTGAATAGTCCTCACCATACTGCCCAGGCCATGTCCCCTCGGGCCTCCTTGTCCCCAGCCCCACCCTTCCCAAGCCATCCTCTACCTACAGATGGAAGTAGCCACGTAGTCCTCTACAGTAACGCTCCAGCCTAAAAACACCCATTTTGGCATTACTAGATTAACAGTACGTTGTTTCCTGTCTCTGAGCCTTCGTACTTGCTGTTTCCCATCCCCCAGCACCCTAACCATCATTGCTCAAGAGAGGGCTTTCCAGTCCATGCCTGGGCTATTCCAGCAGTGAAGCTCTCATCCCACATCTCTGCTTCAACCCCCACTCAACTGGACAGCATGGACACACTTTGTAACTTTTACACAGCAGGGACCCAAGTGTATAATCAACTTTATCCCCAGTCCTTGGGCTCAATGCCTGACACAGAGGGGAATGAAAATCGATTAATGTCAATAACCCTGCCCCACGCCACTTACGTTGGCGAGTTGTTCCCTCTTTTCTTTAGGATTTGTTTATGGGCTACCCAGTCTCAAATTCTTCTTTAAAATTCTCTTCCATGCCCATAGCCATTTCAACTGTGATTCTCGTTCTCTCCCCACCTCTCTCAGTATATTTGCAGAGCTGAGCATCCATCACTTCAATTGCAGAATGTTTTCATCACCCAAAAAGAAACCCCATGCCCCTTGGCTGTCAATCCCCATTCCTCCCTTCCCCAGCCCTTGACAACTGTTAATCTACATTCTGTCTCTATGGATCTGCCTGCTCTGAATGTTTCTCAGAATGGAATCCCACACTATGTGGCCTTTTGGGACTGGCTTCTTTCACTGAGTGTGATGTGTTCAGGGTTCACTCCTGTATCAGATCTTCCTCCCTTTCTATGGCTGAATAACATTCCACTGCATGGATGGACCACATTTTGTCTATCTGTTCACCAGATGATGGACATTTGGGTTGTCGCTACTTTTTGGCTATTGTGAATAATGCTGCTGTGAACATTCATGTACAAGTTTAGCCCTATGTTTTCATTGCACTTAGGCATATATACCTGAGAGCGGAATAGCTGGGTCATGTTAATTCTACGTTTAAGCTTTTGAGGAACTGCCAGACTATTTTCCAAAGTGGCTACATCATTCTACCTTCCCATCAGCAGTGTATGAGGGTCTTGATCTTTCCCTCTTCTCGTGTCTCTTAAAACCCTTCAGCTGGGAGCCCCCAAGTAGACATCACAAAGGGTCACGAGGACCCACCATTAATCACCAGACCCTGGCACCGTGAGCACCACAGAGCTGACTCCCTCATTGCTTCTACGACCAAGGATGCCCAAATTCTTTGTGCTACATCATATGTGGTCAGTCATGATCCATTTCACCCTTGGAAAGATACTAATGAGAACACTAATCCATACTGTGATAACTTCATGATTTATTGTTCTCTCTAAATTCAATTTCACTCTTTGAATGAACTTCAGCAAGTTAGAGTTATCCATAAACAGCACATAACTGGGATGTCCTTGTATGTAGGATTACGTCACATTTCTGCCAAATAATCTGACACGATCCTTCCCTCTCTACACCCCACACCACAATGGAGGGGCCATTTGCTCAGACCCGATTCCCTCTTTAGACTTTCTCTCCTGAAACCCACACATAAGAATAACAAGTTGATAGGGCCGGCCCATGGCTCACTTGGGAGAGTGGTGCTGATAACACCAAGGCCACGGGTTCGGATCCCTATATAGGGATGGCCAGTTAGCTCACTTGGGAGAGCGTGGTGCTGACAACACCAACTCAAGGGTTAAGATCCCCTTACCGGTCATCTTTAAAAAAAAAAAAAAAAAAGAATAACGAGCTGATAAAATGTCCTGGAATTAGATACTGGTGACAGCTGCATAACTCTGTGAATATACTAAAAACCACTGCATGGTGCACTTTAAAAGGGTGAAGTTATGGTACATGGATTACATATATCTCAACAAACCTATTATGTTTAAAAAAAAAAAAAAGTGACATGAGTTTACAATGTAACCATCCACAATATGTTAAATGTATACCCTTCCTTAGACCTTTATAATATATTTTTTAAGATCATCAGTGTATTTGCTACTTTGAACATAACCAACTACAATCCTATACTCAGTTGAAACTATGAATCTATCTATGAACAAAAGCAGAGAAACAGGCAAGCTGAATATAGTTAACACCCAACTTAATTTGAACAAAACATAAGCACAGCAGCAGGGATTGATTCACTGAAACCTCAGGGAGGACATTATTTTAACCACTTTTCTCCTGCCCCCAGTTAGCTACATTCCTCCTCCAAAACAAAATTCCTGCAGGCAGCTCCAGAGTCACCACTGGAATTGTTCTGCACCTGGAGAGAGAGTTTTTAAAACACAGCAGCTCTTGACCACTTTCAGAGGGAAAGTGAAGTTTACTTAACAAATAACAAAGAAACAACATTTGTTGGGCTTAATAAAAGTCTCTGGGCTTTAAATTATTTAAAAGAGCTGGAAAGGAAAAATGTTTTAAAAGTCATAGATGAAGTTTGAAGAAATGGAAACATGCCCCAGGACGAGTGAGAATGAAGAGGACCTTGACACAGGATCAGAACTATGTTAAACATGTGGTAGGTAAACATCCAGGGAGACAGAGCTGGTCACCACAATGGCCCTGGTCCCCAGAGGGGCTGGTGACAAGGAAGGGCTACGGCCTTGTAGATGTAATTGCTGCTAGCTGTAATTGCTACATTGTGACAAGAATGAAAATTATACCACAGCTCTGCCTGCAACAATGGGTGTGCCCCCTCAACTTTCTGGGGCATTCTCAAGTCAACTTAAAAAAAGACAAGGGTTTGGATCCCCATACCAGCCAGCCACCACAATAAATACAAATTTTTTTTAAAAAAGGAAAAAAGACAGAGGAAAGAAATCAAGAAATCTCTTTTCCATTTCTCTAACATATGAAATAAGCTTTGACGCACAGATACATTGGAGAATGGTTAAATGTAGCTAATAAACGCATTACTGCACATAGTTATCATTTTTGTGGACAGAACATTTAACATCCACTCCCCTTGCATTTTCAAAATACATTATGTTGTACACAATAAAGACATACAATATTATCTGTCAATTTAATTTTTTTAATTAAAAAAATATATATAAATTTTAAAAATGTAAAGTCACATACTAATTTCAAAAAACAATGACATAAGCTATACAAAACAGAAACAGGTTCTGTTTACAAGAATGAAATTTACTATGCCTTCCGGCTGTTTGCTCTTATTTTCTCTAGAACAAAAGTCTTCAATTTTTTTTTTTTTTTCTCAGAAGGGATTGTTAACCCACAGAAATAGCAAACTATTGATAAGCATGAACCCTGGCCCAGTCCAAACAACAACCGAGATGCTCAGATTTTCCAGACTCTTTATTACTTGTAATGTCAGCCTAAAAATACACGCCTGGGAGCACGCACAGGATATATATCTGCACAGGACATATAACATTTACTAAGCCTTCACCATATGTGGGGCACTCTGCTATGCACCTCATGCATATTATCTCATCGAATCCCAGATCAGTCCTTATTCCCGTTTTAAAGATGGGGTGATTGAAGCTTCTCATGGCTAACACGTGTGGAATTGGGACCAGAATCCAAACACTCAAGCTTGTGCTCGGACATTTCTCTGTACAGCCCTGGGATTAATCATTCACCCAGACACCTACAAAAATCATCTCCAAATCGCGCTTGGCCCTGGGACCGTCCACACTGTGGAGAGCTCCTTCTGGTCAACGAGAAGGGGGCCCTTCAAAGCTACTTGCTGCAGTCCCATCTCCCCGAGAACACGGAAAAGGGGGGAAAGTTGTGTTCTTCACTTGGCTTCCGTGGTAAAACTTCAAGAAACTTTTTACCCTCTCGGCCAGCCATCTCTTCTACGGTTTGGATCTCAACAGAGCAACAGGTAAAAGGTAAGGGGAAGACAGCTACGAGAAAACGCGCAAGGACCAAGGAAATGCTTCTCATTCCGGCCCTCAGTCAAAGTTATACTGCAACGGCCGACTTTTTAGACAAGAAAGAATCTGGCAAGAGAAGCAAGGAAGACCCAGAGCACACCCACTTTGCACTGATTTGTACCCAAACGCTCCCTGGCAGGGAGGACGTCTGCTCCGGGGTATGAGGGTTCTCCTGGGAGGCCTGCAGGATTACGGTGCTGGTTCCCGTGGTGGGGAGGTCCTGCCCAAGGAGCTCTGGTGACCTTCCTCTCCTGGAGGAGGGGAGGTTGCCTGGGGCTCGGACAGGGCCGGCAGGCATCGTCTGCACGCTTGCACCCTGCATTCGCCACCTAGAGCCCCCATGCATTGAAGGGGCAGCCTGAGCCGGAGCACCCCGTCCGCCTGCCTGGAGGAGTCCACCGGGGTCCAGCGGGGGGGAGGCCCGAGGCAGCCCCGGGGGTCCCGCGTCCCCGGCCACCCCCGGAGGGACTAAGGCCTCCCTCCCGGGCCCCGTTCTCCTCGGGACCGCCCCGCCGCCCTCACCTCGGCCCGGTCGCCCCGCAGGCCGCTCTCCGCTCGCTCCTCGGCCACTCTCGCCGCCGCCACCGCCTCCGCCCGGCCTCCCCGGATCCACAGGCACCCACAGCACCCGGCCGGAAGCGGGAAGCGGCGCGGGGCGAGCGGCGCATGCGCGACCCCGCCCCGAGGCGGGTCAGAGGGCGTGGCCAGGAAGGGGCGTGGCCTCGAGGCGGGGTCGTTCCCTGCTCCTGGTACCCTGAATCCGGCTGATCCTTGAACGGCGGGTGTGGGCGTGGTGGGCTCCGCCGAGTCGGGGCCGTGGGGACTGAAGGGGGAGGGCCCTAGTGGTGAGAGTGAGGACGACCCCTGAGAGGCGGGCCAATGGGGTTGGGCGGCGTTTTTTAGGTGGGGTCAACAGAGGCCTGCGTATCACCGGGGCTG